AAACAAGAACATTTTCTTTGTTTCTTTGTTTCCACGGGTTCGGGGAAAACAAGTGACCGCACGTGAGAAATTCACTGTACTTCTTTTGTAGTCTGATCCTTCGGTTGGATTAAAGAAACAGCTAAGACGTAAAACGCTACGAATATTAGCCAATGTCTTTGATATACATTGCATTCGCCCTGCTTATTCGCACATGCTGCACATGTGTGCGTTGCTGTCTCAATTTGAGGTTAAGTCGGCTGCACATCATCAAAAATCTAATCCACTCGAAGTTCCTGGTAATATTTTATCATATTCCCATGCCAACTTAACCTTCTTAACCCACTTAACCCTAATTTTACAAAATGCAGTTACGCGTTAAATATGAAACTATTTATAAAAAATAAGATAATTTTGTATTTATTATTAAATAAATCAAGAAGCAAAATAACTCGTTGTTTAGAAATACTAGCGGTTACCCACCGGCTTCACCCCGTTTGAAATGAACATAACAGAATACATTAATACAAACAAATAATCACACCTGATTTTAATAAGGTAATAAATTGAAAGTATAGCAAACAAATAAGTACAGCTGAGGTATTTTTGACATTAGGTATATGGAAAATTCCCTTTAGAAAGGAATTACGGCCTTAAAGGGCAATTTATGAAATAATGTATAGTTTTGCGCAAGGTTTCTCGTAATGACGAACATTTTAAGTACCTATATGGTTTATGGGGGTGTAACTTTTCTCAAAAGTTCATGGGTACTTTGGGATTAATATGGATTATTTGCATTAAAAGTAGGACCAACCATAGATTCCTCTTATTTTGAAACATTTTTCAAAACAAACTCCATAACAACTCTAAATTCACTTAGGGTTATTTCTCTTTGATAAATCCTTTGAAAATAATCTAACATCAGCTTGAAAGCTTCGTATAACCTTTCACCTCTGCATTCACCATACAAAAGGTAATACACCTCGCCAAGTGAAAGGATAATTTAATATCAGCAGAATACGCAGGTGAATGACAGGGACACTATCATTACCATGTAACCCCTCATTACTGTACTCCACGGCGCTCAAACCATCAGCAGTGATTGCTTTTGTCATTTGGGCACGTCATGATCCTATGAACGAGCAATTTCGAGTATAAAATGGACCAAAGCACTCAGTAGTTGCCCCCTGCAGTAACGCCCAAATTGCCTTTTTTAGCTCCCTAACCGCCCTTTATCCTTTTAGCTTAACTGCGCATTTAATACACGATTGTTTTTACACTCTACTTTTCCCTTGAGTCCCCGCCCAGCTGTTTTGCTACTTTGTGGAACAGCGGTTTTTGTTGGTTTCGTGTTGAGAAGATGGTGCTTTGTTGGTTTGGAAAATTTGAAAGTTGGATAGTTACAACTAAGAAATGTTTTTATTAATTTACGTTTGAAAAACTTAGTAATCTATTCCAAGAACGTTTTATAAACGTAACTGGGAGGTGTTTATATAACATAATTTTGTTCTTAGCGTAAACGTTCGTCCTCATACCAACCTAGCCTCAATCTATAAAAATCACATTAAAACTTGTTTTATTGTTTAAATGTTCCTACTTCAGAAAAATTACCTATTTAGAAACGTTTTGTAAAAACGTATTTACCCATTTTTATGATTTTTTTTATAAACAAATCAAATGAACCAGAATTTGGTTATTTCAATCAACAACTGGTTTTGGTTCTGGTTTTTATTTACGAACTCGATGTAAAACTTAGAAACTTGTCCCTCAACTACTTCAGATCAAATGCTCCAGTTGAAGTTTCTGGAAGATGTCCATAATTAAGATAACTCCCCAACTTTACAGATAAAGTCCTTAATAAAGGGTGAAATTATTTCCACAGTGGTTGTCGTCGCGGCCAAAGACTTCACAAAGACAGACGATAATGAGATGTTTTCTGACATCTCGGACTTGTCTAAGACGCTTTCTTCTTGTTTGTGTTGAAGATTCAAAGCTCATTGTTAAATAATAATGAGTTCCTTGTTTATTTCTCCTTCTCCTTGGTTTCTCCATTGACAGCTGCTCTTGTCAATACGCTTCAGATCAATGAGGCAATGAGAATATAATCTAGTGAAGACCTAATTGTCACCTACTTGGTTGGTGGTACCATGGCATTAGGATTGATGTTTAGTAAAGTTGTCACAATCATTTGATTATTGGATTAGGCCATGTATCTGGTCCAATATCTTATCAATCGTCAATGTTATCAGTCTTACATTATATTAACAATATTCTTGTGGTCTTAGGTAGTACAATAAGAACATAATGTGGGGTTAAGGATCCATTATCTACTTGGTTGATCTTTACCCTACCAGTATAGTTTAATTAAGTAGGATAAGGTTATATGAATCATTTAGTTATAAGATCATATCATTAGGAAGTAATATTAGTGACAGACGTATAAAGTTTTTTTTTGTAATACCTAGTAATATACAGTATTATGGTTATTATTATTTGTTTTCAATACGAGTAACTGCCGAAAGGTCCGTTTTCTCTTTACCTAAGTTGTTTACATTTGCAGTTTTTGCAAACTGCATAGTAAATTTAAAATCATAGAATGTTATTCGGGTTTATTATTTTATATTTGTAATACGTTTTTATTCTTTTATTTGTAGAATATTTATTCAAATAAATATCCCCAACTTACATCAGAGAAAAATCTGTTGACAAAAATGTACTTTTTGGGAAAACATTCTTCCATTCAAACCTATGTTCCCAAAGCTTTAAATTTAAAATATTTTAGTTGTCATAAAATATTGCAGGTGTCTGTATTTTGCGATTCTTGGTGATTTCAGTATTATCACACAAATTACAAAAGAGAAAATGTCGTATAGAACTGGTGAATTCATTTTCTTTCCAGTTAAAATGTTTACGTAAAGATGGAAGCTGGAAAGCCCTTCAACAGACGACGCTCCAAGGTATGTCTCTCAGATTAAAAACATCCACCGCTCGTTGTCCCCCTTCTACTGCACCCCTAAACCACCCCAGGGCACTACAATCTCCCTCAAGAGCCCCCTTCTTCCATCTCCCGCTCTCCACCCCTTGGGAAATCGAATTGACTTGGTAAAGAAGAAAAATTGGTCCGCAAAAGGTTTTGAAATTCGGAATACCTAAAAATAGTTATTCCACTAAGTTCGATTATGCTATAAAATGTTTCAGATTAATTTTCGTTTGCGTTTTTTTATTTACAGAAGGAGATGATTTTTACTCACAAAATTTGACTGTTATGACTACTCTAGAAGTAAATTAATTTTTGTTTGGGTTTGAAAACCAATTAGAGTTTAACATTCATACAGGTAAAATGTTTTGATTTGGGACATTTTTGTAATATACTAATAGCCAATTGGATTACTATTGGATAATTTACTATTTATGCTTAGTTTGCGATTCCTGCACCCGGTAAGTTGAAGGTTACCGCTTAAATCATTTGCAATACTAATTATTAGAAGGATTTAAAATGTAAATTAAATGGAACCCAAATAGCAAAGGAAAACAATATTCGTCCTACTAATTGGCCATATATTTTAGTATAAAAATTCTACAGTAATTTGTACATTAATATATAAATTATATAAAATTGGAAAATATATTCTTTTGTACATTGAGTAAACACATAGGTAATGAAGATAAAGTTAAATACTTTTAAACATTCACTCTGCCTCTACACGTCAGTAGGCCTAATCTCACAGGCACACAATCCTTAGAGGAATCTATTATTGATTGTAAGGTAAAAATTGAAGAAGATTCATTAACCTTGGTTAGCTTCACTGATGCAATCCTTGGATCGATAAGTTGACACCATTTAAACCATTTTATCATGATTACCTGTATACCGGCAAGACAAACACCCCTAATTACCGCAATAAACTGAAAATAAACGCACATTTCCTTCATTAAGTCCTCACAATTTCAGCGCCAGTAATGTATGCAGTCATTGTCTTCTGACATTGACACTAAGGGCCGGATGTGTGATTGTGTGTGTGTATGTACGTGTGCGTGTGTGTGTTTGCCCCACCCTTAGTCATTACCTCGTCCTGATTGGCCGGACCACCTAGGCACTAGCTACAAGAGCACCTGCCTTCCGCAGCTTACTTAATTGCGGTGATATCTTAATAGCTCATCTCTCTCCGACACTCTGAGAGCTTTTGTTTATTCCTAAAGGGTTGATTGCTCTGGTTGGTCGCTGTAAATGTCACTGTAAAATATAATTAGGGGTTTTTACACATTTATGGAGTTTGTGCTTTGTGTGGATACGAAAATGTATCTGGATTAAAATCTAGCACATTATAACTAAGGGAATTCTTAAGATACGTCTAAAATTACTCGGTAAAAATTAATAATGACTTCGTTGAGAATATCTGTCTATATTTTACTATGGTAAAGTGTTTGTACGGTACACGATCTAAAAATTACTGTTCAAATAATAACCACATGGGGATATTTATTCTTTAAAGGTGAATTGGGTCCATCATTTCTACATGTTAGTGGAAACAAAACTCCTTTATAACTTTATAAGAACGACACCAAAACCTTTAACATTTACACATTAATAAGGGGTTTAAATTTACTATTGACTTTGTCGATGCAACAAGATCGCTCGTCCAATTTAAAATTTAGGAGCACTGTTTTATATTGAAGTGAGTTTCAAGTCCTTGAGGAATTTGATCGCAATTAAATGTGTTTTTATCTCTGGATAAGATTTCCAACGTTTGCTTTACTCCATGGTTATATTGTCAACGGGAAATCTATAGCTTGCAACTAAATTACCTTATATGGATTCAGGCAATATAAAGAAATAAGTAGTACGTAACCAAATGCACTTTACGTATTAAAAGACAGGAAAGTGCTTGAAAGTTGTCTATAGTTATTCCATAAGGTTGACAAATTTACAAAGTAGTATGATTCATCTGTATCGTATTTTAATAGTAAGCATAAACTATTCTATGAATGGTTATTCACGGTCTTTTGTGTTTCTGTTGCAGTGTGTTCCAAGATGTAAACAGCTGACTATAATGAAGGATATCACCTGTTGTGACTGCATCACTATGTGTGTAAGTACATTGATTAATGTTAATCGCATAACAAGGTTATGTTACTAAAATCAGGTTGTCCAGCTTATGATTATGGCCTCATTTGCCATCTCAACGTTAATGTGACAAGGTTAAATCCTATAATTGACCATGCCTCCCTCTACGTTAATTTCTAAATAATTCTTCAGCAAATCTTTTTAATTTGATTATTGTACAGAGTCGAGCATTAAATTAATTAATTCTTAGCTGCAAACGCGTCTTACAGTTTTTTACATTTGGTAATGCACAGTACGTTTATATCTAATTAAAATATTTTTAAAAAAGTTTCAATGTTTTAAGCATAAAAATAAGACAAGCGTTTCCATCACAAAACAGCCTCGAAACGAGTTTTTTTTTAACATAATATCTATATATATAATACGTGAAGCCGTATTTTGTTAACGCAACTCCTCCCTTATTTGTGGACCAATTTCAACGTTTAAGGTGTCAAATGATTCGTCTCAATATTTAGTTTTGCAATAAGGTTTCAGAATTTTAAATTTTCTACTCTTAAGGGCGTGAGACCCTCTTAAAGGTCGGGGTTTCCCCATAAGAAATACATAGAACAAATTTAAAAACAAAAAACAGCTGTTTATAAAAAGAAACTCACTAGCTTTTTGGGAGTAAATATTAATGTTAGTAATATTCAGTAGGTTAAGACCAAGTTAAACAGTTAATCAGTTTTGTTGAAAGATCGGAAAATGCCTGAAGTTCAAAGAAGAAATATAGAAAACGGGAGGAGGAGACAATACGCATAAGATACCTTATTATTATTATTATAAGGTATCTTATGCGTATAAGGAGAGTAGAGAAATAGAGGCCTGGTCTAACAGATGGGTATCCATCCAGATACACATTTACTTGGTGAGATGAATAATATTGGCCAGTTCTGCTATGCAACTTACTTTGGAAGAGAAAAAATATACGAAGCACATAGTGTTGTCACGGTGGTAAAATAAACTTGCCTAATGTCAGATCTTAAAATGAATGTATGCAAGAAATTTTTGACAGATCGAGATATTTCAAATTATTTAGTGGAAACCATAATATTGCCTTGACTATGATAAGTTCAAGTAGTAAGATTATACCAAATCTTGGCGGACCTTATGTTTTTATTGTAAACTTTTGTATTACTCGCTTCACTTCAATTGAGGAAAAGCACAAATGGATTGTTTACTTCTAGGTTATGTTGCCAGTTCCTCTGACAAACTTATACAACGTTTTTTGACTTAATTCACCAACACAATCCAGACGTTTCAAGTAAAAAATAAGACGTTTCAAAAACTCATTTGCTATTGAAAATTTTAGTGACAATATTAGACATAAGTGAAGGAATTAGTGTTTATGTATTCAACGATCGAGTAGTTACAGTCGAGTTTATTTTTATGATTCAGGAGAGGCAAATAATATACGCTGTTCAAAAAGAGAAAATGAAAATTGCTATGCAAATCTTATAGCTACAAGAGTTATCCAACCTATTTCGACAAATGAATTCATACTTTCAAAACTTTGGGACAGGTAGGCCTATTAAGAGAAACCCCACTGAACAACGTGAGAACGTTCTGATGCGGGGCATATAGCCTACCGTGACTGACAGACAACCCAATACGGTAACCAACTTTCAATGGTGTCGCTGCTTTAGCCTAATCAAAGCAGATTATGGCTTTCCAGTTGATAACCCTGGGTAAAAAATGGAGCACTTAAATGGTTGATATCACTTCACTTTTCAGAATTCTCTACGGAGAAAATTTGTTTGATTAGGGGGATGTCTAGGCAACAGTTTTCTTCAATTCTCAATGCTGGAAAAACTTTGTTGCAACATGTTAGCTCTAATTGAAGCAGATCGTTTAGCATTCATTTTAAGTTATCAGTTAAGTTTAACTCAGTTGAGAGCAGAAATTATGTTGGTGAACCTTGACGACGCAAATAGAGATATTTATAATTAGTTTCTAACAAGTGTTTAAACAACTCTAAGATGTAACTAGAAATACTCGAATTTAAGCATAACGTTTTCCTCGGCGTTATGTTTCATACTATGCGGCTCATTGAGCCGCACGGGTTCTCTAGTGTACTACTATTTTATGAGAAAATGTTCAAGCAAAATTGTTCTGACTTAGCTCTATGAATGTTCCTCAAGCAAATTTATCAATGCAACATTTTATTAATTTATTTTCTTTCGAAAATACAGTTCGCTACACAAACGAATTTTGAGTCCAATGGAATGTTACTTTTTTCTACCGACAAAATGATACCTACCTGGAAAATGTACTACAAAGAATAATTATAATATTGTCTCTTCATAAATTCTACACCAGACTTCTTACCATTTGTACATAACTATTATATTTGCCAATCAAGCAAGTATAAGTTTTAGAATTGCAGCTTTTGTTCTCCTAAAGAGACGGTATGTAATATCACTTATTAATTTATACCAATAATAAATTGTTTATTATAACCTTCACAGAATCGACATACCTCTCTACTTAACTATTCCTGTAATGTTTTATAACATTTTAATTTGTATCATATTTTTTCTTAAATAAAAAAAGATTGTATCATATTTTATATACACGCCTTTTTAAGGTCTTAGCCGGATTCTTTTGCAACAACAAATAAGTATTTGCATCGGAAATCCTTTAAAACTTGCTTTAATTAATTTATATACCGTAACGAAGTAAATGTAAGCACTTTGACTTTTTATGTAAAAATACATAAACAGCATTTATTACCTGCTAAATTGCCTCATGGTTTACTGGTTTACTGTACAGAATTTCAATGATAACCTTCAAAATGTAATTTTCTATAGCTCCTCTACACTAGTATTCATTGAAATCCGACTACGCAACATGACAAGTAAATATATAGATTTTTTTCTCTAGATTTTAAAATAATTTAAACTTAAAGCTTATAACCTTTTTATTAAACCCAAATAAAAACGTTGAATGTTTCGGTCAACTGACCTGTCAAACAACAGGATTATCGGTCAAGTGGTAGGTCACACAATATCTTAAAGCTACACGGTTAAAACCCATACCTACCTCTTTCCTCACAGAGTTGAGTAAGGTCGAAAAAACATTCCTAAAAACTAAATGGCCACTTTGTTGCACAATGGTTTTACCAAAATTAGAGCCTCGGCCAAGTCGGAGGTCCTAATTATTGGCCACTGCCAGAAACATTAGCAGGTCCGAGGTATAATTTCAGGGATTCACTTTGTCTTCAATGACTAAGCAGACGTAGGGATAATTACAACTGTGTAGAGCGGCGCTAGTTGTCAGGTGGACGAGCAAATTTTGTAAGCGCCTCTCTGTTGAGATATTACGTAATGTAAATTTGTAAGATGCAAAATGCCTTAAAACATTAATAGAGTTCAGTATTCCCTCACATATCTATGTTAAATGGTAAGATTGTAACGTTTTTGACCATAAAAAGAGAGGTTCATATCTGCATTTGGATACAGCAAGTAGACATCTAATATTGTTCTCATTAATGACTTGACTACGTCAGTATAAGCACAACCGATGAAAATATCTCGTATTTTATAATTAGGCTAGGAGGACATAGTTTCCTTGCTAATGCTATTTTATTAGGCAGCTTTTTAAAGGGGTTTTCAGCTTTTAACCTTACGTTTACCTATCCAGATCGGGCTTTGAGAACTAATAGCGTATCAAGAAAAGTTATGGAGTGACCGAGTGAGCCGGTGCAATAAATAAATAAACTGTACTGAAAACTTTGCGTCAGTACCTGGGCTTGAACCCACGATGTAGCTGGCTTGGTGTCGTGCTACAGGGTGAGTCGTCGACTCAAAATCTCGTCTAACCAAAGTTTTCATAATACAACATTTTATAATTGAGTGACTTGACCCACTGATCTCCCAAGTTAATCATTTGTCGTCCTGATACAGGAAACAGCTTGTGGATCCTCGAAGATAGACTCTAACCTTCTGGAGGACAGAATCACCCATCCTCAGACTCCTCTGTGCTCCTGTGATCCCGCGGACGTCGTAGGGCGAAGACCCAGCGTCCCCCGTAGGACGAGAAGACGTCCCTCGAGGTCGCCCATGTTGAAGGAGGCTGCTATTATCGCCCGGAGCGTCGGCTTGGAACTGGCACCTCGGGATATAGGATCGGACAGCAGTGATGTAACTACTTCTAATGAAAAGGTGAATATAGATCCAGGAAATATAGGCTATATCAGATATTAATAAAGGGTCAATTAAATCATTTAAAAACAAGCAAAATCTACTAAGTATGCTATTTGACTGCATCGATTGAAAATGATTGACTAGAAATGAAGCTTATTAAACAGTTACACCTTATCCTTAACAACATGCCTAACACACCACAACACCTTATAAGTTAATATAATAAATATCTGAATCTCTAAAACCCTATTGGGCTCAAAAACCCAACGTGATGAGCCGGTCTGATAATAAATAAATTTTAAAGTTGTGTTTCTCAAGAAATAAAAAAGTTTCAAACATATGCAGTAACAAATTTCGGATTTTTAACTAAATGTCGTCAAAAAAAATTTACGCTATTAATTCGTCTAATAAAGTTTCAACTAGCCATTATATACCGTTATATTTCCGTAATGCCTAAAGTTTTGCTTATTGACTTGATTTTTTACCATACAAGGGCAACTATTTTTAAATTTTCAGTGTCATTATAAATTATTAAAATAATGAAATACTTTTATTAACAACTCGTACGTTTACTCTACTAGGTCGAATTAAAGCTGTTATTCGTTAGGTAAAAAAAATCATATTATACTCTTACTTATTCTTGAGCACTTTTGTTTGAGACTTGATTATATTACACTGTTTTCTATACAGTAACTAATTCCTCCATCCCCATTCCAGGTGGTACTCCGGCTGGTGTCCTTAGTTCCAGAGGAGGACTCCCTGACCGCCGTAGTATCCTGGGACTCGTCGTCCCCTAGTCTGTCCCCTGGCACCCCCTGGTACCTGGTGACCTGGGAACCCCAAGGGGGCGGAGTCCGGGGAAACCTCCTGACAAACTCTACCTCAACTTCGCTTACTCTGTGGCCCGATAATGTATATCAAGTCCACGTAAGATAGCAACTTCTTTAACCTCTAACTTTTGTCATTCTCAAGAAACGTCTTAAAAGTACAGTTATCTAACCAGAGATGTGTGGTTTGAGACTTTCAATTAAATCTTTCTTTTGAGTTTCTTACATATAAAATAGTATTTGTTTCGACAAAAACAAACAGCTGAAAAGGGAAATTGTATACACCTTGTCATTCTGTAATCACAATCAATTAACTAGAAGAATACGGCTTTGCTCCATACCACACAACAGTCAGCCACTCGAATACAAACACAGCTGCATATGTTTGCATATACGAATGGCAAAAAGCGCTGAGTTTTGTTTAGAGCATAGTCCATACACATTCCTTTACTACTCCTGTACATCATGATTCTAAGCATATTCTAAAGTATCTCAAAAATAAAATTTAGAAAAACACCACAAGATCAAATTCCAATTGTTTTCTTTGATTTGGCCTCATACAAACTAAAAGAGGGGTTTTATTTATTTTTTTAATTGAACATTATTTTTTCGCAATCTGACAGACTTTAACCCTTTCTTTCCAGGTATCCTCCGCCAGTTCTAGGACGGCCAGCTCCTGCCTGGAGGTCGACACGCACTACGTCGCTACCCTCGCCCAGGACGTCACCCCGAGGGTCGTCCCCTGGAGGGTGGAAGTCCTCGGAGTCACGGCAGCTGTGGTGTTGTTCCTTGTAGTTCTCGTATCTGTCACTAGATGTCGCTCATCCTCGAAACATTGTGATCAAAGCCACCAAGATTGTGACCGATACAAACGTAAGTAGTTTTAACTCATCATCCTTGTAAAAGTAATATGTTGAATTCATTATTGTTTATTTCATGCAAGGCATCTTTTAATTCTTTGACAAAGGAAATCGTTGTCGAACAAGTAACTGCATACATTGAAACCTTTTCTAAATTTGTGTTTTAACTCCAATGGTATTTACCTTTTTCAGTTTGGAGACTAACTAATAAAATTACGGTAAATGTTCTAAAGATGATTGTCCTTTAACAGGAACGAAAAGGCGAAAAGGATCATAACCAACACCAAACGAATAAAACCTGATCAGTATCGATGCTTCAACATTAGGATTAACACTGAATAAAATATGTACCCAGACATTGAGATAAACAGTTACTGTAGTAGAAACTGTATAGAAACATTTTCGATAAGTATTAAAAAAATCTGCCTAAAGAATATGATAAAAACAACTTTATCTATGCGTTGATATCGACGTAGAACAAAATATACTCCTTAACATAAAGGATTAACATAAAAACTCATAAACTATTTCAAATATGTACCTAAACATAAGATAGATATTTAAACAGTCTAAAGCTATACTTTTGGATGGACATTTTTAAAAATGTGTACCTAAAGTTTAATTCAAAAATTAATTAAAGTCTGTTTCTAACCTTATTAAAACCAATAAAATCACTACCTAATTTACGATACTAACAAATTAAAATATACTAGTGTACCTGTTGCTCGAATTCGAGCAATTGCGAAGCATTACATGCGACTCAAAGATTATGGAAATACTCATGATCTACACAACAGTTAGATATAATCAAAATCTTTTGTAAATATCTTATCTTTTTTTCAAAGAGCTGATCTAGTTTTTTTAGTGTTTTAGTGTAAAAAAAACATTAGCCTCTTTCTATTTATTTTACTTGGTTGTGTTCTATGACTTTTTCTATGTTTCAATTGTTTGCAAATCGGTTATTTCAATGATTGCCCAAGAAATGTAGCACAGTGTTAATTCAGTTTTATTTTTAGCCTATATCAAATTGTCCAGGATTTCTCGCTCTTTTCCATTGTAATAATTACACCAACCCAAGTTTCGTCTACAGATACAATATGCTAAAGAATATCACCTACGTACAATCTCCAAGAAGTGGTAAAAAAAGGCAGAAACCAACCCATACAATAGATACCGGTACCTAAAAGTTAACTCCATAAAAAATAATTTTAAAAGTTACTGTGATATTAGGATTTTCCACTGATTTGGTAATAGAACATTATATTGCAAAACATGACACGATGCAGAAGAAAATCAATTTTAAAATCCATTGCAAATACTGTACTTCATTTTGACAAATTCAATAAATCACAATTTTAAATATTAACAGCTGTTGCATTAAAGAGTAGTGTAGAATTATGCATATGGTCGTAATGTAAACAAATCTGAAGAGGCAACTTTAAAGGCTTCTGGGGCAGAGCCCCTAGGGAATTTACCTCTTTCCTCTTTTGATGGCTCATCTACAGACTAAGACCTTTCTTTAGAGACCCCTACCAAGTTTCTGCGCCTAGCCGTTCTCTCAAATTAGCTGTGACAAAACCCCCGTTTTCCTCCATAAGAATAACATGGGATGGGAATTTAGTATAAAGGCCACGGGGGCAGAGCCCCAAGGGAATTCACCATGTTTCTCTTTTGATGGCTCATCTACAGACCAAGACCTTTCTTTAGACACCTCTACCGAGTTTCTACGCCCAGCCGTTCTCTCAAAATAGCTGTGACAAAGAAAAACAGTTTCAAATTAATATATAGATACCTAAATTAGCATGAATAATTTAAACTGTACCATACCTGTTGGTAAAATCGTATCAGATTTCTTCAACCAACGTTACAATTTGACTTACTCGAGCAGACGACCACACAACACAATAAGATAGTCTGGTGAATGAGACAATGATGAGACTGAGAATGGGGCCACCATGCAACAATCGCATGGGCTGATGAGAACAGCGCATATACTGCCTCCCTGTTCCGTTACATTGCTCATATTATTACAGTCTAGTACTGTGACTATATTATACGTCAACGTTGGCAATGTGAAGCATTGTGATGTCAGCAAGAGTAATTTATAATGCTCAGTTTTGTTTATGTAGTTTTGTTTGTTGAACTATTTCAAAGTTAAATTGTGCACAGTTATATTGAACGATTTCTTTTGTGAGTTGAAACGAAATGTTTCATAATTTGAAATTGCATTCAGGTAAATGTGATTAGTATTGCATTTTTGTGATATATTGCATTTATTGAAATATAATACGCCGTTTAACATTGTTTTTCAAAAACCACCCTTATATTGTTAACATTTACTATGGGGGTCATTACTGGGACTATAATATAATGATGACCAAATACATCTAGTCGAAATCAATCGTCATTCTAACATCGTGTCAATTAATTTACAGTCTTATAAATGGTCATAGTTTGAATGAAGATCAATCAAAACGTTATAGAAGCCGTATTTTTTATATTCGTATCCAATGAATAAGTTCTATTTGCAAGAACTACCTACATCTTCTTGATACTAAACATGTTTAATCATTGCATAAGCCTTCATAATAAGCCAGTTTCAACTTTAATTCTTGGTAAAAATCAGTTAGCTGCCTCCAATATATTTAAATACAGGCTGGGCTAGGTTAGGATAGGTTATTTAATTTTCAAAACTTATATTTATTTTAATAGTGGTATGTATGATATGTGGAAAATTTAGGCTTATATTAGGTACGTATATGAAATACCACAGTCTTTTTTATATTTCTATTCACTAAAACGTGTTTGGTCATGATCTTAAAGATACTATATTTTACCGTACCTTGGGCGTGGAATTAGTATTATTAATCTATAAATTAATAGGCAATCATGTTTCTTTAAAACCTATTTTCTCAGATCATGTGCATCATAGGGAAGATCTACGCATACTGTTGAAAATATATTTCCTGTAGAGGTGCAGAATCTCTTAATAAATTAAAATATGCTAAAAAAATAAGCACAAAAAATTAAAAAAATTAACATTGACATTAGTAGGCAATCTCGCTTGTGAATCGCCTCCATACCCAACCCATTAAACTAACATCAGTGTTGCAAATGTCCGCTATCAGTGCAGTATTTACTTAGCGTTACTCAACGCTAACGTCACATATAACGTAACGTTTGATGTTGCAGTGTACCCGCCTCCCGTCACGTTACATCACGCTAACGTCACGCTATCTACAGAACACCTAGCGTAGCCGGACCAGCAGCAAGCAGCATACCAAATAATAGCATAAGCCACTTTGTACTTATTTGTAAATAAATATGTGTACACTTATAAGTTTGTTTTAGTTGGTTACCCAAAACTGTAGTCGTTTTAGGTTATGTAAAAGAAAATATGATTAATCACGGGGTTGTTAATCTATCTATATATTAATAGAAAGCATGTTTCTTTAAAACCTTTTTTCTCAGCTCGTGTGCATCGCAAGGAAAATCTACGCATACTGTTGGAAAGATATTTTCCTGTAGATGTGGAGAATCCCTTTAAAAATTAAAATAGGCTCAAAATTAAGCAAAATTAAGCTTGCAAAATGTGAAAAACCTGCAGAGTTCTGGAATTGTTTAAAAAATTGTGAGATTATAAGTAGTAAGAGAAATAGTGTGCTCCCCCCTGATTTAGATATTAACAGAATAAATGAATATTTCACCAATATGGGATCGGGAAAAGATATAGATATTGAAATACTGAATATATTTCAAAAAGATAAAAAACACGGAGATAATGATAGGTTTAATTTCAAACTTATTACAGAAAATGATGTTAAGGAGGCAATGAACTCGATAAAATCAAAAGCTCTAGGTGCTGATGATATATCTATAGAAATGATCAAATCTGTTAGCCCATATGCATTAGGAGCAATTACACATTTATTAAATATGAGCCTGGCCTCTGGTGTTTTTCCTAGCAGTTGGAAGATTGCCTACGTGAAACCTTTGCCTAAAGTTGCTACGCCAAAAACCATCCAGCAGCTAAGACCTATCTCTGTGTTACCTGCAATTTCAAAGATACTGGAAAAGATAGTAACCGAACAAATCACTTTATTTCTAGATGAGTATAATATACTGCCTAAGCTACAGTCAGGGTTTAGAAAAAACCACAGCACGTGTACTGCACTGACTAATATGTTTGCTGATCTATTTGATGCCAAAGACAAAGGACTCTACAGCACATTAGCTATTTTAGATTACTCTCAAGCATTCGACTCTATTGATCATGAATTATTATTGACAAAAATGAAGTACTATGGTTGCAGCGAAAAAGTTGTATTTTGGTTTCGGTCCTATTTGGAGTCCCGACTGCAGGTTACCAAAATTGGGAGTGGGACATCAGATCCGCTTTGCAAATTGCGAGGTGTACCTCAAGGTAGTTGTTTAGGCCCTGTGCTGTTCAATTTATACACGTCTGACTTGCCCAGAAGTGTAAAATATTGTACAGCACACTTGTATGCTGATGACTGTCAATTACACTTGTCATACAAGCCAGACATGACATCCGCAGCAATTGAACTCATCAATGCTGATTTGCACAGCATTTTTCAATGGTCTGCCATGAATGGCCTTGGATTGAACGTTGACAAGTGTGTTGTCATGCATACTGGACCACATATTCTAATGCAGGAGTTGAGAAAATCTGACATTAAAGTCACCCTTGATGGCATGGGATTGTCTGTCTGTGACACTGTCAACACGCTTGGTGTTGTACTTGACAAAGACCTCTCTTTTTCTGACCACGTCACATCTGCAGTCCAACGCGCAGTGGGAAGATTGAGAGGTCTTAGCAGATTCAAAACTCTCCTGCCAGAATTTGCCAAAACGCAACTCATGCGGTCCTTGGTCCTTCCAGCCTTCACATATTGCTTTCCTGCATATGGAAACAGCGTCTCTAAGGAGGATATGGCAAGAGTTCAGAGAATTCAAAATTCTGCCATAAGGTTCATTTTTGGCCTTAGTCGCTTTGAACACGTGTCCTCCTACAGAGATGCTGCTAAGCTCATCCCAATGGATGACATGTGCAGAAAGCTGACCTGCTGCCTGGTCCACAAAGTGCTCACGCTGGGAGAGCCTCATTACCTCAGCGAGAGGCTGAAGCACAGGAGGGAGATCTGTCTGCGTAGTACTCGCTCCGACCGCAAGCTTCACTTTCCTAAAGTGAGGCTTGAGGCTGGAAGAAAGTCTTTTTCTTATTTCGGCCCGCGGTTGTACAATGGCCTCCCTCAAGAGATCAAGTGTTCAAAATCGTACAACACATTCAGGGCCGCAATGAAAAAAACAAATGTTAAATGTATATTGTAATTATTCTGTTGTAATTTGTTTGTATATACTTATGTAAATATATTAGGATAGTTTAGATTTAGTGACTTGAGTTAGTTTGAAAACCATGTATTATGAAACTCGCTCGCAAATAAAGGCCTTTTTATTTATTTATTTATTTATTTTAAGCACAAAAAATGAATTTGAAATTTAAAAAAAATTAACATGGGCTTTACGGGTTGTCATGCTGGTGACGAAATAAACACGAAATATAAACAGAAAATCAAAATAAATGTAAGAAATTCCAATCATATGTTTTATTTACAGTGTGTGATGAAAATTAGAGAAATCTGTACCAAGGCCACACTAATGTCTGTACACTAGATATTTTTGGTCGAGTTTTCGACCACTGGACGACCTCTAGTTATAACTAGGGTTGCTTTCAGAGAGGTGAAAGCCAGTTGAGCGGAACAAACGTGATTTGATATTTGTTTAAGTAACTAAATGTAAAAAAGTCAATAGATGTATTAATGCTTGTTTTATTGATTATAATTGTAATAATTCAAATTTGTTTTTACTACATCTTGTTATTCAGACACCTCTTCCAGAAGTGCATTGGTAGTTTTGACCAGGAAAATATTACAGTAGTTGGAATCTGATATTAACATCCAAAAAGGGCATTAAAGTATAAAAAAGAGAAAGGAAATTTAACATTCAAATTCAACTTTAGCCTACAACAAAAACATTGGTGTTCATTTTTCACCCTTACAATCGGTTTAAAGTATTTAAGTATAAAAAACAGTAACTATTTAAAAAACACGTGAGTATTAAAGTATAACATCAGGAGGGAAAATTTGACATTTAAATTCAACTGTGCAACATAAACATTGGTCTTCATTTCAACCCTTGCAATCGGTTAAAATCAGCTTTCTTTGCTGAAAATAATTTATGATTGTTAATACCAAGTATTCTTGATATGATTGTAATGTAACTGGAATGTAGGTCTTCCACCATTATTGGGACGATTTAGAGACGGCATTTTAATACTGGCCTTAATAAAACCATTGACCATTGGATACAGAAGATTTTGATGAAAAAGCTGGCTATAAATTTAACATGGGGATGGAATGTCTAGTTGTATTGATAGTCAAAGATAACCGTGGTTAAAAGTGTACTTCTATAAGTCCAGGTAATTAATTATTTACTTATTACGGTTATAACTGGACGTATGTATAGTCCGTGGCTTGGCAATCAAATAACAGTATTCATATAGGATAGGCTACTGTTATCAACATTTGAAATTACTGAATTTTTACCAAATTACTGTTTCACAAAATGCAGATTCCATTTCAGCCGAGCCATTAAAATGAGGATTTGCCGAACAATTATTAATATTACAGAATAGTATTTAATGATGTACAACTTTTCACATTTCATAAATTATATGTTAGTTTTGCTATGGGCAAAGGTCCAAATCCAAATGTTCTTTTCTTTTGGTTTTTATGTAGTAATTTGCTACAATCATTGACTTTATATAAAGTCAATGCTAGAATACAGTAGATGGTTTGTTAAGACCATATGCAAACATTTTTGGAATCATTTCCCCATTTAACCAACTATTCCAAAAGATAAAAATTATATGGTGCATCACAAATAAACAACTCGATCACCTACCTATAACCTACACTTTACCTTCCTAATCTAACCTTACTTCAAAACATTTAATGTAGTCACGAGTACTCATAAACCCCGACCTACCTTCCCCACATGCCTAAATTAGATTAGTGTTCAATCTGCGTTTTGTTAATAAGTGTAATAACTTACTGCACCGTCGATGTAATTCAACATAATATAATCTGTGATGTATTATCGGATTAAATATCGATTTCGATGTGGTTCGATATATCGCTTATTAAATCCTGATTTCTAACATTGGCTGTTTCTAATCAGCTGGCAACACAAATAGGTTCCCAAGAAAGTAGTCACTGGTCCGTATCCCTCCGCTCCTTGTTTATGCTCCGCGCATTGAGAAAGTAGTTCCGTATATTTTCTCGATTTTCAGTGAATTCCGCGCCTTAAAAAAATGTTGTAATGGCATTTTCTTGTTTATTAAAATCATAGGAATGGTTTAAAAACGTTTAAAAGAAAAGTATAGAAAGTTCAGAAATACCTTATGATTCTCTTGTTTACATTTTTCTTGTAAACAAAAAAACTGTCATAGCTACTTTAGTCCCATAAGCCTAATGTTAAAAATTTAAAAATTTAAGTTCGTTTTAAATTGCATTAGCATTATCTAATTGAAATTTGTTTGTTTACAAACCATCTCATTATTAGTCTAAGTAGTCTTGTTAAGTTTGGCTGAAATGTGTTCAGCCGTTATTGAGTGATGGTGTTATATTGTTTGCATTGAAGTTGATCCCAAAGAGCTTCGCTCGCTTCGCTCGCTCCGCTCAATTAATATGTTCGAAGCAGGAATTATAATATCCTAATAATTAGACCAATTCGTATATACCAAGGCCAAAACATGTGGTTCGGATTCCACTATAAACTGTAGGTCCCTTAGTTGCATTTAGCTGTATGGCTATTAATTAACAGCTGTGTCTAAGGAACATGTCGGCCTTAGTCACTAACAAGACTACAAGATCGTGCCACTCCATACTTGGCTTAAAATTCCTACTTTGTATGGTCGCCTAATAATACAAAATGGGACATTTTTTATTTTGAAAGAATGCCGTAGGCAATAGATCTCATTATGTTATATATCTTGTGGGGATAATATGCATCGTGTTGCGTAAAATAAAAGTAAGTTTACTTTGATACAAGTTAACATATTGCAACAGACATCCTAAATCTAAAGTACTTTGGATTGTGTCACTAGACAACTCATAGGCATAAGTCCAAGAACTTCATACAAGCAAGGACTGTTTTTTGTACATTTTTTGACGATTTCGTCATATAAAATTGTAACAGTCTTTTCATTCATGTGTAGTGCACTCATTTGTATTGAAGGTTTAAGCATAC